TTGGGGATGACGATGGCGAAGTAGCTTTTATGTTTTTAATCTTTTGCTTATTGAATTTGTCTTGAAATAAGGCAAGTTTTAATTTAGCGGTTGAAAGCGTGCTTGAAGACTTTTTGTCTGGTTTTGCCTGCTGTGTGTCAGAGGGCGGTGTTACACGTTCCTCGTCTTCAGGAATTGCGAGCGTTTCTTGGTCTTCTTTATCCAACATTGTAAGTTGCTCGATGATGTTCTTGGGTTTTGAATCCCCAGGTGCTGATGCCTGCTTGTCGCTGCCATCGTCATGCCTGCTAGCGTTCTTATTGACGTACACGACGACGTACTCTGAGAATGAAGACTTTGTGGGAGCGTTGATGTCGGCAAAGTCCCGGAAGTTTGCAAAGAAATCATTTCCACGATGCTGCTGTGGTCTTGGATTGGTAGCGCCTCCTCCGCCGTAGAAGGCCGGTCGACCGTGGCCGTTGTTGCTGTGGTAGTACGGACTGAAAAACTGGTGATTCCCCCTCCCTTCGTACTCGGGGACTTCCCGCTGGTCATCGTCGTTGTAGAAGGTTCCACCTCGGATTACTCCGAAGTTTCCGGAACCCAAGAGACTGTTGCTCGTGGTTTCTGCAGAAGCCGCGTGAATATATTGGTTGTCCCTGAATGACCCTCCGCCAAAAGCGATCGGCTGGAAAGTGTTATGTTGAGCCCTCAACAGCGCCGGTCGCTGGCTGTGGGCCGGTTCCTGGAAGATCGAGGGGCGCGAGTGACCAAGAGGTGGAGGCGCAGGAAAGATTGGCGCAAATGACGGGAAGAAGTGCTGACCCAGGCTGACGACATCAGCTTCCTTCCTGTCTTGCGTAGGAACTGCTTCCGCGTTCTCTTCTGAGCCGCCGTTGAGCTTGTCGTCTGGTTCGAGGTACGTGTCCCCGTCATCTCTGTAATCTGCCTCGGGTTCGGATCCCGTCGCCTCGGACGAGTCGCCGGTTTCCCTCCGTTTACGAGCCACGGAGCCGACGCCTGTACCGCTGTCTGCCTGTAGCTCATCTTCTGAGCGGGCAGACACCGAAGGATCCTGTTGAGAAAAGGGAAATGCCTCTTGTCAGTTCGTGTTACAGTCTCGCGCTTCGAGTAACTCGAATTACCTTATTAACGCATTTACGAGGATATTTTATTTTAGTTCAGTAATTTCATTTTAGATCTTCACGTCACATCATTTACTGAGGATATTTTATTTTAGTTCAGTAATTTGATTTTAGATCTTCACGTCACTTCAGTTACTTTTTAAATTAAATATTAAATTTTAATTGAATATTTAATAAAAATAAATATAAGGAAATTATTGAGTAGTGTGCAAACGTGTCTACAATAGGAAAATAGTATTTTTATAAAATTGTCATCGTTTGTAACCAAACTGTCCGTGGTTTGATAAGAAAGTATGAATTTGGTCACGTGTCGTAGATCATTAATTTTCTTCCAAACCCAAATTAAACTATTTTCTCCGTAAACTTAGGAGGAAATACAGAAATTACACGCAATACAGGTTTATCTGAGATCTTATCGTGAAAGCTGCTGATGCGTTCACCTGTCTGCTAAAATCGTCTCCCTGTTCTTCGCGCTGCTGTTTCTGTCGTTGAAATGGTAGCCCTGTGATGGCCACCGTCGCGTCAGGGTGACTCCTGTAGCCATCTTCATCTGCTGCCTGACTTACACGAGATAAAGCTGAGGAAGAAAAGTGATTTACGTTTTATCTCATATTGCGACGGCATGGAGGGAAGATACAATTGAGGTATAAAACGATTTGAATACGGAGTGTGGCTATCTTCAAGGCAGCCTTGGATTCTAGCGTGGATTTTAATCACTCAATTTCAATGCTTAAAAAAATGTAACGCATCTGCGTTACCTGGTTTTGAACTTGGCTTCAGAATAGATATCACGGTTGTCCTCAGTCTCAGGATAGTATCTTAAAAATCCACGACGGGTTCAAAATCGACCTAAACCCACCAACATTACCATTCTCACGTGTGATATAAAGTTAATTAATTTCTTCATGTGATACATCGTCATTAAATAACCCGTGAACCATCCAAATGGTACTTATTCAATTCACTGAAGACAGATTTACACTCTCGTATTCATCCAGTTGATTGGAGGCAGTGGCTTTCTCTTTTCAAGTAAACTTTCCACTTCTGAATGTGGGCTGTGATATCACGAAGTTATTTTGAGAGGGGGGGGATGCCCCCAGGACTTAAGAGTCCTGAATAGAGATACAGAAACTTGATTTGTATCGTCTTTTTTGTGTTCAGGGTCGACGGAAACTTACATTGTTCCGCGTAGCTAGTTCCTGGGTTTCCGAGAAACTGTAAAGACGAAGGCGAAGGCGAACTCCTTACGTCTTCTGTTTTCTTCGCATCTGAAAATAATACACAGAAGTTGTGAGGACTGAAGGTACAGCTCCACGTATTATTTAGCTTTGGCATTGGATTAAAGCCAGTCATCTTCACTCTACGGCCACTTAACCTGCGGTACGGATTTGGTAGGAGACTGGTCTGGAGGCGGGGAGAAGACGAAAGACTAGTGGATCCTTAACTGTGTCCGATTACTGGGCTGACTGAGCTGTCCAAGGGAAATTATATTCACGAAGAAATAAAATAAAATGTCCAGTTCAAGCTGTAAAATAATTCACTACGAAAGATAATTGACCATTCAACGCCCAGTGGTAAATGTACCACCTGTTGTAACAATCAGTAGTTCTGAATTTTACCCAAAGAGTGTGTTGGTGTGTTTCGTACGTAAACGCGGATAATTTTCTATACTGCGTTATGCAGTCGATCTTTGCAATGGTGAAGTGTAGTGTTTTCTTCGCGGTACGGACTGAATTCTTAAATAATATTTAGACGAGCGTAGGCTTCAAAGGGTGTTAGAATCTATTGACTTGTGCAGGAAATAAGTCGCCTTGACCAAATCTATTCCCCAGGAACTCAAACATTAAACTATATTAAGATAATCGAAGAATATGACTCGGAAAAAACAGTTGCACGCCATTTTGGAAAGAAAATCGTACGTGGGACAATAATATTAAAATGGATCTTAAATATGGTATGAGGGTGTCGACTGAATTAATGTGAATCAGGATAGACCCCGGAGGCGTGTGTAATAATATTTTGGGTTCCGTAAGAGGCGGATAATTTCTTGACTAGGTGAATGATTGTACTGTATTATTTACTCGCCAGCTTTCAAGTGTTATAACCCATGACTCTAACGTAATTGCGTCTTTCGACGGTCCTGCCCCGTGGCCACTTGGCGATGGACGGAAGAAAATTGCCAGTTTACTTACAGGAACCACCAAAGCCAAACCACACGATATTGGCCTGAACTCGAATGTATACGATTCGATTGGCGTCACTTTCACCGCTGTCTTGTGCAGACTCACGATCCAGCAAGCACGTCTGCCATCTGCAAAGTCGCCGACACAAATCCACTCGAGCAGAGAAGCAGGAAAATTGTCATGTTTTGTTTCGGTGGCTAGCAACGGATAGTCGAAACGAATTTGCAAGACTTTATAATTGTATTCACGTGTTTAATGAAACTATAAGTGTGTTTCGTGGTTCGTACCGAGTCGATTTATTCTCAGACAATTGAGCGTCGATGTTCTGACGTACAGAATTTGTCGTGCAGAGCCGCTCGCGAATATTTAGGAATTTTGGAAAGAATCTTGTACTTGTGCTATTTTTTCCAATCCGTCGACACTTCGAAGAGGATGGAATGTACACAATCCTGGAAAGAAGGATGAGAAGGTTGTTTTTTATTCCCGTAAATGATGCGAAAAACCGTCTGATTATAAACGGCTTAATTGCGTTGTTACGACTTGTTTGATCCGCCCTTTTTTTGTTGTAAATTCCCATCATGGACTCCTGGTCGTGTGAGAAGCTGTACCATGGAGGCTGCGGTTTGATGCAGAACGTCGTCTTAACGTATCATGACGTTTGTACCACGTCCTCAGCTCGCCGATTCGCCATCCAAATAACTCTTCATTCGGAAATGAAGAAGATTTAGTTCGACTTATAAACGGATGTTATAAAACACGTCAACAATTAGACTTGCATTGTCTCGGAAACTTGAATTATTTTAGCTTACTAGAGCAGAGTGCTCCTTTCGGAGCTCTTGGGGGGGGGAGGTTAGTTTGGTGTCGTACTCAAGTCATTTGTTTACTCGGCATTGTTGTTTGGTACAACAATGTCATTGTTGTGTTCTATTATAACCAACCAATTTGATTGTTGTGTTCTGTTATAACCAACCAGTTTGATTGTTGTGTTCTATTATAACCAACCAATTTGTAGCCATTTGTTTACTCGCCATTCAACAATGGATATTCTATTATAATATATAATATTGTGTTGGTACAACAATGCCGAGTAAACAAATATAACGTAACATTGTTTGATGACGTCATCTTTTGAATACAAATAGGTTGACGACGACGACACATCACAAATTTTTATAATAGAATGAGATAGATAGATACTTCGTATTTTAAAATGAGCAATAGGTTCCATGACACCAACAGTGAAGTTACTTAATAATTGACGCGGGGGGCTGGGGACTGCCCCCCCCCCCTCACCAAGTTCTCCTCTAGGAACAGGGAAGAGCACGGAAGGTATCGTGTTCCTCCCCTCACTCCTCCCGCTTGAGTGAAGTCGATCTTCACAACTTCATTGTTTAGTTTAACGTCCTGCTACGTTTTTTTTCTCAGCGAGATAATTTTTATATGCACTGTAAATCATCAGGATTCTTCCAAGTAATCCGATCATGACGGCAATACGTCAACTGTTAAATTCAAAATTTTATGTTCTCTTTAGACTGTCTGTCATCGAAAAGTCCCGTAATGTGTACCGGCTGGATTCTTTCCTTCCCCACAACGTCCAAACCTGCTCTGGGGACCACCCGGGCTCCTATCCAGTGGCTACCGGGTTCTTTATTTCTTTCTTTTTTGGGGCCGAAACGTCCGTTGCGTGACCGTTCATCTCTGTCTAGTATCGAAACTCAGAATGGGTGGAACTGTACCCTGTCACGTGTATGGTTCTTAGAATAATCAGCGATTATCTCCTTAAACATCGTCAACCAGTTGATCTTTGTGACGGTGAAGTGAAGTGTTTTCTTCGAGGTACGGACTGGATTCTTAAATATGATTTATATTAATTTCGTGTTTAAAAGAGTTAGTACGGGCAACATAAATTTAACATAAACACATAATACGTAAGTTTATTCTTCAGTAACGTGACATTTTACAATACTGAAACAGTTATACACATTTTAGTGCGGTTAGAAATAAGTTTTAGATGTGTAGTGAGCTCTTGCCCTAATTTATTCCAATACCCATGGAATTCGCGTCAACATTTTTGACTGTGGTATTAAAAATATGAAGGCTGTATTCCGATTTCGCTGATTGCATTTCAATACAGTGGTCTGTATACTTAAGTGTTTGTTGTACTACAAAGAAAGAACATTCCTCATTCGGTTGTGGTAATTGTTTCAGTGATTTAGCAGACTGGCGATCCAGTTCTGCCATTGTTCTGCTTTATGTGGGACGGAGAAATTGTTATACCACATTAACTATTATAAACTTCCTTCCTGAAAGTGATATCGTGCTGAGAGGCAGTCATTTGTGCAATGATTTTTCTGGTTCTGACAAGGCACAGACGAGTATCAATTTTACGGTGTCATTTATGAAAGCGACGTTTGGCGCTGAAACCAGACATCTTAACCTCACTTGGCGTATTGCCAACTCCACCTTAATATAATCTTAACAATTGAATCTTCGTTAGATAAATAAGGATTGTGTGTACAAATAAACACTCGTAATTATTTACAAGACAGTCTGTAACTCGCTCATTGTTTATTTCTCAGAATAAGTTAAGTTATTGATCGACCAAGACAGAAACTGATAGTTGAAGTCATTATTTATACTTTCTTGTACAAACTGTAACATTTGTTACGACTGAAAGGAGGTAATAATGCACAAATGACTGAAATGTTTTGGAAAATGATGAGGTTATATGCCCTTTTTAGTATAGTGAACACAATAATGAACCTTCAGAGCAGCTATAGTATTTTATTTAGTGTTCTGTCTGACGACAGGTCCATATGAACAGGATCCTTCCATCCTTTTCTCGGACTGGGACCTGTTCATATACGTTCTTGGCAGATGATCCAGAAGTGGTTTGCCATTGCCTTCTTCTGTGTGTGAATGGAGTAATTGTTGGGATGCCACGGAGGAAAACTCCGTGTTGCCTAGACCACGGCCTTGCCCAACACAAGTTATAAATTCGGGCACCGCCGGGAATCGAACCCGAGACCCCAGGATTACAAGGCCAGCGTTCTAACCGCTATATCACCGTGGCTCAGCGTTATTAATGTCTATCGGAAATTGGAGTCATCTTTATGAAGTTGTACTATCGTAGATTTCCAATCGAAGTAATAAAACAGGTTTTAGAAGTACTGGGTTTTAATAGACGTGATTAATTTAATTAACATTAAAGTAAAAATAATAAATTACGTGATAAAATAAAGACACACAGTGTTGCTTCATATTTAGGGGGTTTTGGGCTCGAATCTCGTCCCAGAGATCCTCGGTGTCTTTTCTCAGTTGCTTCAGGCATTTGCCTGGATAGTACGTACCCAGTTCATCACTCATAATTATCACCGACGGAAAGGCAACGAGCGATTGCACGTGGAATGGAGAAAGGAGAAAGGCATGTTTGAAGTGAAGGAAACAGCTGACGGAAGATTTGCTTGGAGAAAGTAAGACGCACGTTTATGTTGCTGTAGGGGGCAAGTCTTTGCAGACCGGTTTCCACGGCAGAACTAGACTTCATTGCCAAGGTTAAGAGGTCGGGGTCAACGAATATCATATGCAGGGGCGGTGGACAACTACCAGCGTTCCCAGGAACGCTCGGACTACCACTCCTCAACACAACATCGTGTGATCCGTCATAACTCGAGTTTTCCCCTCGAAGTTTTAACACTTTTAAAGCCCAGTGGTAACGATATATACCATGTGCTTTAATATTCTGTAACTCTGAATTTTATTTTTAGATTTTTTTTTATGATTGTCAGAACAAACAACGATTATTTACGTAAACAGCGTTAAACAGTTGATCGTTGTCATGGCGACGTCTTGTGTTTTGTGGTACGAACTTGATTTTAAAATGTTATTTAGATGAAATACTGTTTTAATTGCGAGTCATTTGAAACGCCGGTAAACTGATATCAGAGTACACGGCGCTTCTACAACCCAGAAGGCAACCATCTTCAGAGTCAGCGCCACGAAAACCTCAAATCTTTCTGAGTAATAATCTGTTCACTGTGGATATAGCAAGCTTTATGCTTCAGAAAACGAGTAGATGTGTAAGA